TTTTTATTTTAAAAATATTCTTAAATTAATTTTACTCATATCCTAGTTAGAAGCTCCAGCTCTGTATCAAGGTCACGGTCGATACCGTCACTCACATCAATATCATCACTATCATCAATATCATCCCTATCACCAATAAAAAAATCCTTAAGTTTGTTATCCAGGAACTTGTTCAAAAATACTGTAATGAAAGGAACATAAGAGTTTGCTGCTAGGTATTTGACCAAATAGAACCGTCTAGTTCCTATAGAACCTATCACTAAAATACCCCTCGAGGGGGGTAAGGCTAAGCGAAGCGAAAAGGATTTTTCATGACATGAGAAATGAAAATATTTATAAATTTTATATGAATTTCAAATTGATTTTTTTATATAAAACACATGTTTATATAATATATAATATTAAATATTTATAATTTATTCTCTCATTTAAAATTTGATTATTCGAGACTAGTTATTGATTATTCGAGGCATTGTCGTTTGATAATCGATGGGAACAAAAGGGTTAGCTCTCAAGATTGATTATTCTAGGCATTGTCGCTTGATAATCGATGGGAACAAAAGGGCTAGCTCTTAAGATGGTGATGTTGTTAATATTGGTGGCAAAGGACATGCAAGCTATTATAGCTAGGTGTGAGCTGTTGTTTATATGGGTTGTTTTTGGTTTGTGGTGTAGTGTTCTGATTAGAATCTTTCAATTCAATGAGGGGAGTCATTTGAGAGGAGATTGTAGAAAAAAATAGTCTAAATAATATTCATCTTTGACTTCAAGCATCTAACTTTAAATCCTAGTTTTCTTGTCACTGCAACTTGGACACTTGTTTTGCTTGACGTGCTTAGCTTTGTTAGGTGTAATCTTGATTCATTAATTTTAAATAAAGTTTTTATTTTAATTTTTAAAATTGACCTGAATTGATTTATAAAACTTGGAATCGGATTTTTTTAACCGCGTTACTTCAATCCAGTTTGATAGATATGGAATCAACATAGTACATATATTAATTGAAGTAAAGTCGATTAAGGATAGAAATGATAAAGGGGCAAAGGGGAGATAAAAAAAGGCAAACATTACAAAAGATGATGCATCTAAACAAGCACCAAGGGAGAATCAAACCCTGGTTGCTCCATAAGTCTGCACAAGGACGCCGCCCACCTGATACGTACACAATCCAAGATATCACGAACATAATAGAATATTTTTAACCTCCAAGTAGTCGACGAAGCAGTTCAGGTGGCCAACTATTATAATCAACTGAGCAGGGTTGGATGCCCGGTCTGTAGCATCCTCTTGAACACATCCATCCCAAAAGGAGAATCCGATGAACTGAGTAATGGCAGTATAATGTTAACTCAGCAGTCTAATCATGAGCCTCAGAGAAATTTCCTAACAAAGAGAAATGATGACACAACAATATCTCATTATCAAGACAAGGGCGAGGCCTCAAAGGGCATTCAATGAATCCTAGTAGTTGCCAGGTATAGCTAGAGTAAATATAAGTGCGGCTTGTTAGTTAAAATGCCCGCAACAGACTTCTTCGATTTCTTTATCAGGTAAAATCAACATTGCTAAGCCAGGAGATTGGTTTTAGTTGGCGTCCTTTGTTATTCTTATAGAATAATAAAAATTATATTTTAAAATTTTATTTAATAATTTAAATTATTAAGTTGTGATGATTTTTTAATATGATATTAAAGTTTTAATTATCAATTAGTTATAAGTTCAAATCTCATTATTTATTTAATAAAAATTAAATATAAAATAATGTGGATTTATATAAATTTTAAATTTAAAAAGTTTTTAAAAATATATTTAAAAATAATATAAATCATATTTTAAAATTTTATTTAATAACTTAAATTATTGGATTTAAGTAATTTTTTCACACCAATTAACTGCACCTGTTAATTTAACTTGCATTTGTGCACTACATGAATGAGGGCTGATAATGAAGGTTCACTGCCAATGCTCCTGGATCTTGTGGTTGGTGTTATATTACCCGCCACTCGGCCGAGGTTCAAGCATTGGTATTTACAACAAGAATAAAGGTAGTTCACATTATTGGCTAATAAGACCTGTAAATCACTTTAGCACACTTATCGGCTAGTAAGACCTGTAATTCTCTCCATTACATAAGAAAATGCACCTCTGCCACTCAATTTCAGTTAATTGAGTACAATTTGCCAAAATTGAAAATTCCTCTCAGCTAATTGAGTAGTCTTTTTCACTACTTGAGTCATCATCAACTTTCCTTTCATTCCCATTAACATCATCACTCACTCCCACCCTCTTAATCAAGTAGCATCATTTTTTTTTTTGCAAGTGAGGTTCTATCCTAGCGGTAGAAGGGGGTTGTCCCTTTTCTTCAATTAACATCATCACTCACTCCCACCCTCTTCATCAAGTAGCATCATTTTTTTTGCAAGTGAGGTTCTGCCCTAGTGGTGGAAGGGGGTTGTTTCTTTTCTTCGTACCTACACGCCTGTCACCTCCGTGGTACCTTACCTGCTCACTGGGCTTGCAGGATATTTAGTGGACCATGGGGATTAGTCGTGGTGCACGTAAGCTGGCTCAGACAACCCCACGTAAATCAAAAAAAAAAAAGTAGCATCATTTTTTATTTCGTAAATAATACTTAATTGGATGAAATAAAAAATACAAGGGTTTAATTGATTGAAATGATAATAAAGAGGCTTTTATGATTAATTAACAAAAAAACAGGGTGCAAACAATGAGTTTTACCAATTTTAAGAGGTATATTCTAGAGCGGTTGCTTGCTCCCACTGCGAACAAACACTTTTCTTCCATGGAAGCAACTATTGATCCAAGTAATAAAACAATCCAGCTAGCCCAAAAAACGATAGCATATAAAAGCCACAAGGAATGGGCATGTAAGCATGAAGCTACATGGAAGTCATTTCAGTGACATCAGCAACTTTTCATGAAGTGTAATTGTTCACTCTTACAGCTTCCATATTCAGTTTTCTCATTTCATCTAAGAAATGCGAATGCTAAAATGTTTCATTTCATATGATTATCGCTTTGTCAGCTCTGTTTGGAGAAAGGAAAGATCTCATGAAACAAATAAGTGGTAAAACTACTTCATAAAAAGAACTTTCATGAACCAGAATGCAGCTATAATCCAGAAGAAAGAAAGTAAAACATGCATCCATGCTGAAACATATATTATTTAATTTGTGGTTTTGCTTCACCATCTTATCAGCCAAGTAAGAGCTGCAATGATCCCAAGTGAAAAAACAGTTCAGTTGTCTGCACAAAAGCCAAGATTCCTATAGAGCTGGCAATGGTACCCAATTGAGAAAACAATTAAGTTCTCTGTACAAAAGTCAAGCTTCCCATCCCCACATTGAAAATTGTTTTAATTTGCTGAAACAAATAAATCTATCAGACTACATTTCTCTTTATCTCCACACTTTCTATATTAGTATAATGCATTTATTTCTATAACAAGTTAAGAACACACTTTCTATATCAGTATAATGCATTTAAGTTCTAGTCTTGATATTTAAATCTAAAAACTTTAAAAAAACTTTTTTAATATAAAAATAATTCGATTACTATAAAAATAAACAAGCAAAATTTACTATTTACTGCTTGCTGAAAATAAACTTATACTTTCTTAGCACATCTTAATAATTAAAAATCATCTAAAATAGACACAGAATGAAAATGACAATAAAAAGAATTAAAACCAACATCCTCATACCAAAATTAATTAGTTTAATTAGTTTCCTTAATAGTGAGAAGAAAATTAATTTAGAATATCTATAAATAAATAAACTTCAAGATTGTAGATCATTCACTAGATTAATTGATTTGCTTTTAAAAAATGTAAGTCAATGAAGATTTAAAGAATGAAAAGGATGGCATTGCTTGATGAATGAAGAAAAAAAAAAAAAGAGGACTAAAGGTTAAAGAGAGACAGATTGCAACAATATATAAGAAAAAAAAGTACAAAAAAATGAAAAAAAATAACAAAGTATTGATTACTATTATAATTCATAGTTATAGCTATGTAACTAAACAATAATTTCTCTACACCTTTTACTTTTTAACTTGACGTATAATGTAATGTTTTATTAAGACCTCAGCAACAACATATATATATATTAAAAAGAAATCATATTCCTCAAACTTTAGATAAATATAACATTAAATAATCGAATACCACGTAGATATTGTGGTCCCTTTGATTTTCCACCAATTCTGACCATTTCTCCCAAATCTACCACCCCTACGTGTTGGGGTGGGAGTTCTAGCCGATATCGAAACAAAAGTGGGGCTTGTTGCTTGAGTCCACCAGTAACCTTTGGCATGTAGCTTGACCTTGCTGCTTCAGACACCACAAGTTGCACGTGCTTTATAAAGATTTTTAAATAAAATACTATTTTATTATTTCTCTATCGACCCTATATACTGGGATGCAGGTGCTTAGCCGCATCAAAACAACAATGGTAGAGACCAAGAATCAGAAGCATTTTGTTCTAGTACATGGAGCTTGCCATGGGGCTTGGTGCTGGCAAAAGTTCAAAACGCTGCTTGAGTCAGCAAGTAACAGGGTCACGTTGCTTGACCTTGCAGCTTCAGGCGACAACACGAAGACAATCCAAGATGTAGCAACATTTTATGAATATACGGAGCCTTTGTTAGATTTTCTGGCCTCATTACAACCGAAGGAGAAGGTTATTCTGGTAGGGCACAGCCTAGGAGGTTTGAGTTTGGCTCTAGCTATGGAAAAGTTCCCAGAGAAGATTGCTGTTGCTGTTTTCTTATCAGCTTTCATGCCAGATACCACACACAAGCCATCATTTGTCATGGATCAGGTACTGCTAGAAATATTGGCAAAATAATAATAATAATAATAATTCTTTGTAGTGCTATTTGAAAATATCAGTTGCTTCTCAAGTTGAATTCTTCTCTAATTTTTTTTCCCCTGAATCTATTAAGTATAACGAGAGGACCCCGGCGGCGGCCTGGCTGGACACTCAATTTTTACCATACAGCAGCTCTCAAAGTCATCTCACAACAATTTTTTTTGGACCCAAATTCTTATCCTCCAAGCTCTATCAGCTAAGCCCACCTGAGGTACCTTTCCTGTTAACATCTTCAAATTACATTAGTTAATGTGGACTTTATAACATGACAGTTAAAGTAGTCTTCTGTCTTCTTTACTCCTTTTGATCATGTCAAACCTGGTAGAGCAAGCGCGCTGCAGGTTTTACATGATTACTAAACATGCCTTACTTTTGGATTTTTCAAGGATCTTGAGCAAGCAAAGACTTTGGTAAGGCCAGGATCACTGTTTCTGGATGATTTATCAAAGGCAAACAGTTTCTCCACGACGGGCTATGGGTCAGTCAAACGAGTATATGTTATCTGCGATGAAGATTTAGCGATACCAGTAGAGTTTCAACGCTGGATGATTGAAAACAGTGCTGTTGAAGAAGTTATGGAAATTGAAGGTGCAGACCATATGGCTATGTTTAGCAAGCCACAAGAACTCTTCCATTGTCTCTCGGAGATGGCAAATAAACATGCTTAAGCTGTCCTTATCAGCACCCTTAGTTATAGTGGTTTGCCGATATATGTATCCATCTGGAAAAAAAAAAAGAAAAAAAGAAAAAGAAAGAAAAAGAGCAGGAAATCAGGTTATTTCCAACAATAATGAATGGCATTAATAGCTCACTTGGTCAGTAGAATAAAGAGACAATATATGCTACTGTTTGTGTATTTTTAATGTAACATGTTTTATTTGTTATTTTTAAATTTTTGAAGGGTTGCTGTCTTTCCATTAATCTATTGCATAGTTAAATGACTTATTCTTAAAAACAAGTATTTAGTTACCTATAGTTTAGGGTTTTTTTGGTATTTTATATTTTTTATTATAGTGTAATTATTATATTACCCTTATATTCACATTTTTAAAGCTTGCCATGAGAGGCTAAATCGGGATAGAAAAGGTTTTTTTTTTTTGTAATTATTAATGCTTGGGGAGGGTAGGAATGTGTTTTTGAAAAAAATAAAAAACCTAAAAAGCTACTAATGCATGCATTATATGCATCAAAATTTCACCTATTTTCGTTATCTTTATAAGGCGTGTGCTGGTGCATACAGTGATAAAAATATTAATTTTGTCATATTAGTTTATTCTTTTTAGCCTTTTTTTTTTCTTTTTGTATGGTGCTTGTACTTGTTGAACATCTGATATGTTGCTAACATTTTTTTTTTCTTGCCTCCAAGAAAGTCATGCCTGACCCTTCATTTTCTCATAGTAGCCCTTCTAGTTCCTTTTCTTTTAATTTTGTTCTTGATTTTTTTATATTTATTACTTTGGTTTTAATTTATTTATCATTTTTTTTTTTGCATCCTCTTTTAATTTCTTTATGTTGGTTTTAATTTATTTATCATTTTTTTTTCATCCTCTTTTAATTTCTTTATATATCAAATTATATTCTCATTCTTTTGATTTTGTTCTTTTTATTTGAGATGATTTTTTATTTTTTAATTTTACCCTTTTATTTTTTTCTTCTTTCATATTTGATGCTTAATCTTTTTTTTTCTTTGATGAGTGTTTTAATTTGAGATTTTATTTTTAATTTTATTATTTATCTGGTTGGCAATTTAAATTTTTAATTGAATTTTTATAGTTAATTTAAATGTTCATGGTAAAGAAATAATAATTTTTTTATATATATATTGGAAAAACATATTAATATTTTTTTATTTTTTATTAGAGAAAAATTTATCTAGCCTGCCGCGCCTCACCAATCATGTTAAAGATGAAGCATATCTGCATGGTCAATCCAGAAGTCAGCAAACTATACAAAGAGTATAAACAGAAATGGCTAATTTGTGAATGAAAGAGAAAGAGCAAGCTATAGGAATAATATTAGAAACAGAAATGGTGTACCTATTCCATTTCTTGAATAACATGAAGCATGTTAAGCATCCTCTGATTGGTATGCATAAGCACTGGAATTTTGGTGGCATGACAGACTTGGGTGGGCTATACCCCATGTCAATATTTTATTTTTACTAATATTAAATTAGCCCGCGTTACACTTAATTAAATTAGCTTAGGAAAATTATACTTTGTCCATAAAATTAACCACTCTTTTTTTTTTTTAATTATAATCTCTATCCTTTTTTTAGTTACGAGAGCCAAAATGAAAATTTTATCCCTCCTCGTACTAGATTATTCTTGTTTCCTGCATATTCAACTCCTAAAATTTAACAAAAGCAACACACCTTTACTTTTTTTTTTTTTTTTCATTTGTTGTATGGTATCATCCATCACACAAATTCAACCTAATTTTATCTTAACTACCAAAACATTGTTTTAAACTTTAAAAGATATCTGATTTAATATTTTCTTCGCATATATGCAATTTATTTCCACACAATAAGAAATTGACGTACCTCATATAAATATTTCATATAAAAAGCTACAAGTTATTCATGTCAACAATAAAGATTGCTGATAATTTACTAATATTATTATTATAATATATTTAACTCAATAATAGATTTTCAATTAGATTTGAATTCTAGATTCAATGATGGGATACTAAAATTTCTTGTACTTAGTTGTGCTTAAGAACCTAATGACAACTTTAAATCATTTAAAATTGATGTTATTTGCAAGCTTGTTCATAATTTTTATTCTGAAGATTTTAATGAATAAGAGATATATTATTTGAGATCTCAGCTAGAGTATTATGAGATTGATGGAGAGATTTCAGAACATGTCTACCATTTTCAAATCATGTCGAGGATTAATCAAAATAAATAAGTCACAACATAATTATTTGATTAATAGATTGATTCGTCTTATTTTAACTTTGCATGTTTTTGTTGCCACTAAAGAGTGAGAATTTTTAACTATGAAGCATGTTAAAAATGTGTT